GAATTAAGAAGACAGAAGATAATGATTAACATTGCATTTACATTTTTAAAAATCAAAGTTGACTGGGAAGCAAGAAGCCAGAAGAGAGTTCCACAAGCAAGAAGTGTGACAGCAGAAACAGTTAGCACCAAATTTACAGTTGCATTGGGCCATTTCAACTTTAATTTGATTGGTTGATTAATTTTGTTTAACAGCATAACATATGGATTATCTCATACTGAAATTTAAATGTTTTGTACATAATTTTATACTGTTTATTTTAGATATATAGTCTGTAGATCATAAAATTTGTTGGTAATTTAAAAAAGAAATTTATTCCTAGTAATTTCATTACAAAAATGTACTGTTAGTAATTATTTTATAAAAATATATTTTTATACGTTTTTTAGTGTTGTCATTTTACCATAAAAATGTATTGTTGATTTTTTTGAAAGGTGTTCACTATTATCTACTACTACTACTACTACTACTACTACTACTACTACTACTACTACCAAAGATTCAAGGTGTATCTGGGAACATCACTAGTTAAGACATGGTTCCATGTTTCTCAAAACCTCCAATCTTCCAATCAGAAGATGTAGTTTATTGTCATACTCAAGACAAAACTGTAATTTGAAATTGATAAATGTATATATAGATTTTTACAATGGCATTAATTAGTCAGACCAAAAGGCTGGGTGCACACTTTTATGTTACAAAAAGATGACGTTTACAAAGAAAAAATGTTAAAATATTTAAAGGACAGATTTCATTTCTTTTTCTGTTACTTTCATTTTTTATTATTTTTCGTTCGTGCCAAAATTGACTGAAACTTATAGTAAATTCGTAAAGATTTTATAAAAAGAAATTCAGCATGAAAAAAATTTAAATATTTTTTGTTTGAAGGACATTTTCTGCAGTCATTATTTGTTCTTTCATCATTCCTTTCTTTCATTCTTATTCTTCCTTCCTCTCATTTTCTTCTTTTCATTATTTCTAATTCTACCAAAATGGATTAAATAATTTCATGACAAATAATAAATGTTATAGAAAGAAGTTTAGAAAGAAAAACAAATTTAAATGTTTTATGTTTACTGGAAATTTTATTGTTGTCAATATTTTTTCATTCATTGTTTCTTTTTCTTATCACTCATTCCCACAAAAATTGACAAAATACTTTAAAATGAAAGAATGTTATAAAAAGTTTAGAAAAAAAAACAACACTTTATGCTTAAAGGATTTTTATTTATTTACTTCCTTCCTTCTATATTTACTTACTTCCTTCCTTCCTTCCTTCCTTCCTTCCTTCCTTACTTCCTTCCTTCCTTACTTCCTTCCTTCCTTCCTTACTTCCTTACTTCCTTCTTTCCTTCCTTCCTTCCTTCCTTCCTTACTTCCTTCCTTCCTTCCTTCCTTCCTTCCTTCCTTCCTTCCTTCCTTCTTCCCTTCCTTCCTTCCTTCCTTCCTTCCTTCCTTACTTCCTTCCTTCCTTCCTTACTTCCTTCCTTTCTTCCTTCCTTCTTTCCTTCCTTACTTCCTTCCTTTCTTTGTCTATTCCTTTTTCTTCTTTTATTATTACTTTTCTCATCAAAATTAATGAAATACTTTTACAATAAAAATGTCATAAAATGTTTGCAAAGAAAAGACACCAAATGTGGTCACTGTTTTCTCAGTCCTGCTTTCATTTTAATTTATGCCTAATTGGCTAACTGTCCTGGGTATGACGATAAATTACATCCAAGTCCTGGGTGAGATGATAAACTACACCGTACTGGGTATGACGATAAACTGCACCTGCTTCCTGGGTAAGACGATAGACTACATCCAACAGCAAGGACTCTGATCAGGAGGTTTTGAGGAGTGTGGAACCACCTGTTAATTGCTGGGGTTCCCAGGTCCACCCTGACCCGGGGTGGTAACACCTGTTAGGGTGCCAGCTATGGGCAAATAGTTAACCCTGAAACTGAGGTAAAAAGCATTATGAAAGTGTAAAAATAGATTTAATACCAGAAATACTTTGTAAAAAATTATTACCAGAAATAAAATTTTGAAGAAAAAAAACTATTACCAGCAATATGCTTTTGAAAAAAAAAATATTACTGACAATACATTTTTAAAAATAATATTACCAGGAAGTTGTCAGCATTAAATGACCCATTGAGAATGATATGCTGTAAAACAAAACAAATGAAACCAAACCTAATTGGCTAAACATTTCACAGCATTACTAAGATTCTTGAAACTCCAAGAGATACTATGTCATAATTAGAAATTAACATAACACACAAAATTATGAGAAGTGCAGAGATTACAATATTTTGAACCAAAAATTGAAAACAGCATTGTAGCAAAGACAACATTAACATGAAGGGCTGCACAGGGAGTCTAAAATATACTAACTGCAACATCCTAAAGTAACCACCTGCCAAGTAAAAACTTTCAGACCCAAATGCAAACAACCAATATTTACCTATTACTCTACCAATTAGAGGCATAGTGGAGTAACAGGATAGTGGCTCAGATTGGGGAATTGGAGAACTGAGTTCAAATTCCTGTCAAGTTCATTACATACACTTACATGCTAATACCCTTGGAAAAGGTATGAATCCATCTCTTCTCTACCCAGCTATAGGTAAATAGCAGGGTAGACTGGGTCCTTGGTTGGCAACTAGTCTAGGAGAAGGGAAACTGACTTCAAACCAGCCTGGAGAAGTTTGGGCTCAGTCAGGCTATCTTGACCAAGACACACCAATGCTACTGCAGCTGCGACGAAAGACATGAATTACCTCAGAATTCGAAGTGAGCGTGAATGTGTCTTGCCTGCAAAGTGATGACAAAGAGAAATATGGCCACTATTGAAGACGCAATTTATGCACACTGATCTCATCCAAAACGAGACGATTTTTGCACACATGCAAATTTTGGCCATATTGGAATAGCATAAAAAGCGGGGTGCCAGAAGCACGACAGAACCAAAGTCATTTAGCAGACAGCGTGCGTTAGAGCTGAATGCATGGATTGACAGATGGACAAAGAGGAAGTCAAAGTAGGCACAGCTGAGCTGGTGTCTGTTTCACAACTGCCTAGTGTAATGGCTGAGAAAGGGAACCATGCAATCCATTTCCTTGAGGCGACCGAAGAAGAAGAAAAAATAGCTGCCCTGCCAGCAAGCACCACACTGCAGTTTTTGACCCCTCATTCTCATCACAGCTACAGTACATGTGGTACCCCTATGATCCTAATGGTCTACAGGACTAAGGTTACCAAGTCTTGTACCAACTAGATGAATTGAGAGGTGGTTCCAGGCCCCTCAAAGCGCCCAATCTCCCAATCAGTGGCCTTGCTGCCAGATATAGTTTATCGTCATAACCAGGACAAATTCTCTAGGACTTATTTTAATTTGCTCATATGTTATTGGTTTGTATGTTCCACAGGTATTTATAACCGTAGAACTCACATGGAGTTTATTAGGATTCATATGAAATTTAAAATAGCAAAACCAAGATGTTTTCATGAGTACTCCATCCATCCATCCAGCCATCCATCCAGGTTGATCGTAGTTGGGATCATTGAGCCAATGTGAATGATCCTTTTTTTACTGTATAGTACGTGTTATGCTAGGGTGAATTGAATTCAGAGTTATTTTCTCCTAGAATGGTTGCCACCCAAGGCTATAGAACCCAGTCTGCTATTTACCCACATGTACTAATAGGTATTAATTATTAATATTAACAAAGCTTATAAGCAACAATGAAGTTTAATGAAAATGGAAGCAATACAGTCACTTCGGATATATAATGAGGAAAGAAGCCTTGGAAAATTTGATACTCACAGGACATATCAAATGCAGAAGGGTGAAACAGAAAATAACCTATCTTGTGTAAATGGATGGTGGGACAAGGTGCTAGAAGGATATTAAAATGATAATCCTTACTAAGAGTGACAAAGGATAGGAAGTTGTGTAAAGCTGTGGTTGGCCACGCCCTGAAAGGGTACAGCATATACAAGAATTTAGTTATTAGTAATGAAGATAATATTTTCAATTATTATTATTAATAATAATATATTGCTATGATATTTAGACTTTGTTTACCCAATCCCCATTTTTCCACAACATAGTTCAAAAGTATTTGCACGGAATTTATTTCCACTCTACAACGTCTTTCTCATAACAAAACATTGCTGTCGTTTTACTTCTTTATGAACCCTTGGTTCAATCAGTCTAGACATATGCAACTAGGCATCTCCAGGCTATCTAGACAAAGCCGATATCTTTTCCTTCATATTCCATTGGTGAGGACGAAGTTCCACTCAGGCAGCTTCTCACTGAAATTATTACATTGTGGAATGAACTCCCGAGAGAATGCTTCCCTGATTACTACAATCTTAATCTCTTCAAATCAAGTGTTATCTATCCTACATATATACACCTTTTACTCTCTCCTTGTATGTTCTTATAAAAATCTCGTTTAATAAACCTTCTACCTTGAGTGGATTTAGGGACTTGTATTGGCTGAACAATACTAAAAAAAGAAAGAAATTATCATCTCCAGACAAACATTATCAACTATTATCATCATCATCAACAACAAGAGCCTATCTATCCAATATGAGCAGATGATAAAATTCTGTATTAAGAACTGATTATTCCACACCCACCTAACAGATCAACCCCTATCTTACCCAGACTTTGAAAAGCTTCCGTATTTTCTCAACAGCAAGTGGAATAGGCATTTGTAATTCCCAAATCAATCTTCCATTCAAATAATGGCCACAACTTATTAAGCTTCCATTACTGAAACTGCGGAGATTTCAAAATGATCTTTGGTATTTGTGAATCAAAGAAGACAACGATGATTGAATGAATTTTAAAAGTTGCCAACAGAAAAGCAAAGGAAAGAGAGAAAAAAAGAAGAAAGAGAACAAAAATGAAGAAATAAGGTTAGAAAGAGAAAAAAAAACTTCAGACGGAAAGAGAAAAGACAAAGGAATAAAAATGAAAATAAAAGTTAAAAAAATTAAATATGAATAAAAAGAGAGAGAGAAGAAAAAATACAAAAACATGAGGAAAATGAGTCAGCATTAAAAAGTTTGCCAAAATAAAAAGAAGGAGAAAAAGAAGAAAGAAATAAAGAAGGTGTGCAAACAAAGAAATAAGAAAAAGAGATAAGAACAAACAAATTTTTTAAAAAATGAAAAGGTGAGAGAAGAAAAAATACAAAAGTATGATGAAATTGAATTAGTTTAAAAAATGGGCCTGTAGAAAAAAGACGAAAAAAAGAGAAAGATGAAAGAAAAAAGAGAAAGATGAAAGAAAAAAAGGAAAGATGAAAGAAAAAAAGGAAAGACAAGAGAAAACCGGAAAAAGAGAGAAAAACGAAAAAAAAGAGAGAAAAACGGAAAAAGAGAAAACGAAAAAGAGAGAAAAACGGAAAAAGAGAGAAAAGCAAAAAAGAGAAAAACGGAAAAAGAGAAAACGAAAAAGAGAGAAAAACGAAAAAGAAAGAAGTGAAAAAAAGAAAAACACGTGAAAAGAAAAAATCGAAAAAAGAGAAACACAATGAATGATAAGAAAAAAGATGAAGATGGAAAATAAAAGATGAATGAGATAAAGATAAAAGAGAAATGAAAGAGAAAGATAAAAAAAAAGAAAAGAAAAATAATGACTGGAATACGATTAAAATAAAGGACAAAATAGAAAATAAATCAAAAAGGAAAGAAAGCAGGTTGATGAAGGAATAAAAATAATGGGAGGGAAAAAAATCTTTTTTAAAATAAAAAAAAGAAAAAAGTAAGTGATTGCAGATAAAAATTAAAAATTGAAATAAGCGTGAAAAAAAAAATTATGAAACTAGATAAGAAAACACATAAATCTGAGAAAAGTATTGAATCTCTATTAAAAATTTGCAGAGAGAAAAAGAAAGAGAGAAGCATGAGAGAAAGAAATAAGAAGATGAGGATTATGTAAAACGTGTTAATAGAAATGGCAAAAAAAAAGAAATATAGATAGAAAAGAGAAAAAACATTCAGTTAGAAAGAGAAAGAAAGAAAAACGTATGTTGACAAAGAATAAAAGAAAAAATTTTAATATGGAAAAGAAAAGATAAGAAAAAAACACAAAAGTGTGAGAAATTTGTATTAAAAACTTGTAGATAGAAAAGGAGAGAGGGGAAATTATAAATAAATTAAGACTATAATATTTAAATTTTGTTTAAAATAAATTAATTAAAAAAAAAAAACACCCAGCATGCAACAAAAACTGTTCCTGCCAGAAATATGGACATCCTGCTAAAAAATGTTAAATTCAATCTCTTTGACAGAAACTTTGGTACAGTCAACAGGTGTCTGACTTGTGTGTGCGTGCGTGTGTGTGTGTGTGTGTGTGTGTGTGTGTAATACTACTAGTAAAATATAAAAATAAATAATATGTATTATAATAAATAAAAATAAAATATTTAATAACAATAATGTAAATTATAAATAAAATAAAACAATAGCATAACAATGATGTATAAAATAAATTAGATAAAACTTTTAAAAAATAGAATTCTCCTAGAATACAACAAAAACTATGCCTGCTGGAAATATGGACATTCCGCCAAAAGATGTTAAATTCAATCTTTTCATCTTAGTACAGGCAACATGTGTCTGATTTCTCTCTGTGAAATGGTTTGTAATACGATGGAGCAAATTCTCCCTTTTATTACATGTACTATAAAACAGTTGTAACCTAAAAAATACACACACCACTACACACAAGAAAAATAAATTGCATGAAATTAACATACAATTTACCATGCTTTCCTGTTATTTCTGTACATTTTATTCCTGTCAAGTATGCTTTTTATCTCCCACAACAAGAAGATTGTGAGAGAACTAAAAGTCCTACCAGGATTCATTAATGGTGGCTACAATCTTAACAACAATGGAGTTGGCACAGCAGTAAATCAACTAATATTATACAGAAATATTTTTATATAAAGAAAGCTTCCCTTCATAGATACTGTGATCTGAAAACTGTTTTATTGAAATGTAGGTTATTTTTACAATTGTCATTTCGGTGTGCAAAGTGAATGAGAAAAATCCATGGTTTTCATGAAGAGCTTGGTAAAAAATAAAAAGAAAAAGGTGTATAAAACAACCTAAACAGTGAGGCGATTCTGAGAGAATTAGAAGTTCTAACAGGATTCATTATTGGCAGATAAGATATACAGATGATACAGAAATAGATAGGAAACTACAAGAACTCATACAGAAGGTAGTAAAGGAAAGCATGAAGAAAGGACTAAACATCAATTGCAAGAAGATAGAATGCATGGTTGTCAGCAGAAGGAAGAGCCCAACATGCAAATTACAAATCGGAAAAAAAAACTCTGTCTATATTTCTGAGATGAGGTATTATGTACATTATTTACATTATTCAGACTATTGTCCTCATCTTTGTCGCCATATTTATCACGACGTTTTGGCTGTTGTATACTCCGGCCTTCTTCAGGTGGGTGGAATATCGAACTGAACCCTTTATTATTGTGTATTGAAGGACACATGGCACGGTGGATAAAGGCGTTGGTTAGATCCAGTGACAGGACCCAAAGAGTGTGAGTTCAATACCCGGTTAAGGCAGTGGAGAACTTTCAGAGTGAAATTAACAGGAGATAACTGATAACTGACATCCATCAAACATGGCATGTGGAACTAGAACAGTCTACCCCGGTAGGCAAAATAAAGGGTTCAGTTCGACATTCCATCCACCTGAAGAAGGCTGGAGCGTACAACGGCCGAAACGTTGTAATAAATATGGCAACAAAGATGAGGACAATAGTCCGAATAATGTAAATAATGGAAACAAAAAGGCTATTTATATGTATCATCATAAAAAGATAGTTGGAACTTTTAGGGCATTGAATGAGGAAAAATTTGATACTCAGGACATATTAAAGGCAAGAGATGTGAAAACAACATATAACCCCTGCCTTGAGTGAGTAAATAAATGGCAGAACAGTGTTAACAAAAAAACAAAATTCATTAAGAGCTACAAAGGACCGAAAATTGTGGAGAGTCATGATCACCAGCATTCTGATGGAATGTGGGACATTGAAGAAGACATTACTAGAACTTTAGAAACAGCAAAACTGGTCGGCACATATAACTAGAAAATAAAATACTATAATGAAGCTGTTAACTTTCCACATTATCAAAAACAAAAAGATTGTAAGGAAACTCCCATCAATATCAGAAAGAGCTATAATATTTCATGAACTTGAGAAGTGTAATTTCTTGAATTAATGATTTTATAAATTCCAGTTGACAATAATTCTCTCTGTTCAGTCAAAGAATTCTGACGATTTCCTCTATAGAAATGGTTCAGTATCTGTCTATATTTCTCAGATGAGGTATTATGTACACTATTTACATTATTTGGACTATTGTCCTCATCTTTGTTGCCATATTTATTACAACGTTTCGGCCTGTCAGTATCTGTCTATATTTCTGAAATGAGGTATTATGTACATTATTTACATTATTTGGACTATTGTCCTCATCTTTGTTGCCATATTTATTACAACGTTCCGGCCTATTAGTATCTGTCTATATTTCTGAGATGAGGTATTATGTACATTATTTACATTATTTGGACTATTGTCCTCATCTTTGTTGCCATATTTATTACAACGTTCCGGCCTATTAGTATCTGTCTATATTTCTGAGATGAGGTATTATGTACATTATTTACATTATTTGGACTATTGTCCTCATCTTTGTTGCCATATTTATTACAACGTTTCGGCCTGTCAGTATCTGTCTATATTTCTGAAATGAGGTATTATGTACATTATTTACATTATTTGGACTATTGTCCTCATCTTTGTTGCCATATTTATTACAACGTTCCGGCCTATTAGTATCTGTCTATATTTCTGAGATGAGGTATTATGTACATTATTTACATTATTTGGACTATTGTCCTCATCTTTGTCACCATATTTATTACAACATTTCGGCTGTTGTACCGCTCTGGCCTTCTTCAGGTGGTTGGAATATCGAACTGAACCCTTTATTTTGCTCACTGGGGTAGACTGTTCTAGTTCCACATGCCATGTTTAAGTGTTACCAGTATTTCCTGTTAATTCCTCTCTCCAAGTTCTCCACTGCCTTAAATGGTTATTTTTACCAGTGCTCATATTGCAATTTTTGCTGTTATCATTGCATGATTTTACCAGAGTTCTGGCACTCCTTATTACTGGTTCCAGTAATAGGAAGTGCAAGAGAAAACTGATAACAACAATAAAAATTGCAATATGAGTTCTGGTAAAAAAAAACATGCAAAAAATGGTTGCTGAAGACATTAGGTTTATAATACCCAGAAATTCATATCCAGATGTCCTCAAGGACACATGGCAATGTGGATAAAGGCGTTAGTTAGATCCAGTGACAGGACCCAAAGTGTGTGAGTTCAATACCTGGTTAAGGCAATGAAGAACTTGGAGAGGGGAATTAACAGGAGATAACTGACAACTGACATCCATTAAACATGGCACATGGAACTAGAACAGTCTATCCCAGTGAGAAAAATAAAGTGTTCAGTTTGACATTCCAACCACCTGAAGAAGGCCGGAACGTACAACAGCCGAAAGGTTGTAATAAATATGGCGACAAAGATGAGGGCAATAGTCCAAATAATGTAAATAGAGAAATGGTTCATTTTACTATTACCATTACATATAAGATGCTACATTCAAAAGTGAAAATCATTATATAGCCTTGTGAGAATTAATTTCTTGCCTTTGTACCAACATCTTCAATTTACATAAGTATATCTAAGTGTTTCAGTCTATTGATGAGGTTGACAGAATTTTTGACATGTGCTGAACTGATTGTTCTGAAGAGGGGGATTTAAGATATTTTCTATGGCTTTTGCTAGTTTGTGAGGTAAGCTGTTTATCTTTAATGCAGTATAGTGATTTGGCTGCCTGGTTTCGGTGTCTTTGGTATGCCGTAAATCTTGGATAGGGTTGGGTAATATTCTATCAATCTTATCAATGATTTCTCTTACTGATGGTGTTATTGAAATTTTGTCTCTCATTAGTAATATTACATTCTAGGATTTTCTCATAAGTATCTGAATCTTTGAGAAAAAGCTTCATTGTTTTTGTTATCATCATCCTTTAACGTCCTTATGATTGGTCAGAACTCCTTTGACAATCCCTTTCCACACTGTTCAGTTCTGTATTGCTGTCTCGAGATTCCCAATGTCCAACCCTGATTCCCAAGCTATGGTGGAAATCAATTTTCGTGTGAAGACACTTACAGAAGAATGACATAGGAGTAAGTAAGAGATGATTTCCCTGTCTGCTTGGTGGCAGTGGCCGGCAAATGGTAACCGTTTTTGTTTGAGCTTAAGAGAGATTGGTGTCAGTTCTCTGTAATTTGTGTTAAGCGTTACATGGGATCTCCAAATGATGTTCTGGATTTTTCTAAGTAGATTTGTATATGTTCCATCCAATCATCTTTCAAGACAAGCAGATAATGCCCAAGTTTCTTATCCATACAGTAGGACTGGTTCAATCAATGTTTGATAGGTTTGGACTTAAGGAAGATAGAAGGTTTGAGCACCAAATCATTTGAAGTTTGTTACATGCATCCCATGCAAGAGTTTTGTGGATATTGAAGTCTTTTGGGGAATCTATTATGTGAAATCCAAGATATTTGAAGTCCTCAACTCTTTTGATAGACGTATTATTGAGTATTTCAACTCAGATGGTCCAGGGAAGGTTGTAATATATTCTATCTTACTCACATTGCAATAGAGACCTACCTGGATCATTTCTTGCTCGAGTTATTGCAGCAAGGATTTTGTATCCTTGATATATTGAGATATTAATGCAAGATCATTGGCAAAGTTAAGGTCAGTCAGGTATTGTGGAGGGTACCGACTACTCTGGCAAGGTTTCAAAAGGAGTTCTTTTCGTCCATATTTTGTTTTAAGTGTTGGTGCCCAATAGAATAACCATTTGTCAGGTGTTTT